CCCCAAAACCCCAAAACCCCAAAACCCCAAAACCCCAAAACCCCAAAACCCCTTGTGGGATCTCTGAATGGTAAATATAAAAAATAGACCTAATACTATTAAAAATGGAGAAAGAAGAGATTCTGTACCTAGGCTTCAACCAGAACGCAGGCTGTTTCACCTGAGGCACCAACAACGGCTTCAAAATTTTCAACACATATCCTTACAAGGATACTTTTAGCAGAGAGTTCGATGGAGGCATTGGCATTGTGGAAATGTTATTCAGATGTAATATTTTAGCCATTGTGGGGGGAGGCAGTCATCCTAAGTATCCTACTAATAAAGTCATGCTCTGGGACGACCACCAGCAGAAATGTATTGGAGAATTATCATTTAAAGACCATGTTAAAGCAGTCCGACTTAGAAAAGATAAAGTTATCGTTGTACTTGAAACAAGAATTTACATATACAATTTTGGAGATTTGAAACTAATTGATGCTATCGAGACTATTGATAATCCTAAGGGTCTCTGCTCGGTCAGCTACTCAGCAGACAAGACATACCTCGCATGCCTGGGTAAAGGCAAAGGATGGATCAGAGTAAATATTTATGATGACATCGATATGGAAGATTCTCATTCAATTGAGGCACATAACTCGTCTGTCTCTTGTGTGACACTCAATTTCGACGGAACCCTTCTAGCAACAGCAAGTGATAAAGGTACAATTATCAGACTTTTCAATCCTGCCAACGGAGAAGCACTAAAAGAGCTAAGAAGGGGATCAGATAAGGCTGAAATATACAGCATTACTATCGATGTCGATTCTAAATGGTTGGGATGCACTTCTGACAAAGGTACCGTCCATATTTTCTCCCTCAGCAAATTGGACATCAAGCATCTCAAATAAAGACGATGAAGATGAAGAAGAGACTAAAGAGGATGATGGGAAAGTACAACCCAAAAACAAGAAGAACATGTTTAGATTTATGAAAAAATTCTCCAAATATTTCGACTCCGAATGGAGTTTCGCTAAATTTAGAGTAACAGACTCTCGTACTATCTGTGCATTTACCAAGGATCATAATCTGGTTGTAATCTCTGCAGATGGTACTTATTATTTAGCTGAGCTGGATACAAAGAAAGGAGACGATTGCAAGAAAATAGAGGAGAAAAACTTCGTCTAATCCAGTATAAATATCCTAGTCATTAATCATAATTTAGAATAATATTTTGGCATATTTTTTAACTTTCCATACAGGAATATAAATAAGGGGTTTTGGGGTTTTGGGGTTTTGGGGTTTTGGGGTTTTGGGGTTTTGGGG